CCACCAGGATTACTGGCTGCAAGGAATGATGGATGAAGAAAAGAAATTAAACACAAAGCAAACAAAATATTATTAAAAAGAAACAAGTAATAGAAGAAGCAAATGCAGATGTCTTACATGTATTTGTTAAAACACTTTTGGGGACACAGTGAATCTTTTGGGGGGAGATAGCAGTGGCTTAAAGCACTGAGCTGCTGAGCTTGTTGACTGAAAGGTCGCAGGTTCGATTCCGGCGAGTGACGTGAGCTTCTGCTGTCAGCCCTAGCTTCTGCCAACCTAGCAGTTCGAAAACATGCAAATGTGAGTAGATCAATAGGTACCACTCTGGTAGGAAGGTAACCGCGCTCCATGCAGTCATGCTGGCCACATGACCTTGGAGGTGTCTATGGACAATGCCGGCTCTTCGGCTTAGAGATGAGCACCACACCCCAGAGTCAGACATGACTGGACTTAATGTCAGGGGATAACCTTTACCTTTACCTAGCAGGGGTTTGATTTGGGCTGGGAGAGTTGGAAGGATGCTAGCTTTCCTCCATTCAACATAGCTTACCCTCTTGATACTGTATTTTTGTGTAGAAAAAAACAGGGCTATTTTATGAAATACTAGGGGAATGGCCTGTCAGTGTTCTGTAGAACATGGAGAGGGTGGAATCCTCTTCTCTGATGCTCAGATGTGTCACGAGGAGACAAAGTTTGATGCTGGCATTTCACAAATGTAGTTCAAAACACTATTGTCTTTAGCAAAGCAGTGAATTGTTCTCTTCAAACATTAATTCCCACAACAGAAGGTTGTTGGGTACTTCTGCTTAGTTATTACACACAACATGTTTTGGCTTGGCAGCACCAAAACCTATTCTTACAAGGAAGATATATTTCTGCAACACATTTGTTTAAGTTCTTTGCTTCCTAATGATTCTCTTCCCCTTTGTCTTATTTCAACTGGTGGCAATTTTCTAACATTAAGATCCGTATTGTCTGATGAAATTCATGCTGTCTGATTTCTCCAGGGCTTTTAGCAACCATTCACAGTCATTTCAGAGGAACGTCATATGAAATGGAAATGGTAAGCTGTGAAGTCATAGAAGATCTAGAAATAAGTCAAGAACATGAACGGGAGGGCAGAGTTCTGCCAAGTGGGCAGTTGTGATAATCTTGAAGTGGGAACTGGAAGATCAAGATTGCAGTCCTGGCAACTGTGAAACTCACTGGGTGGCCTTGGGTCAGTTGCTCACTTTCCCAAAATGACCTACCTGATTACCTTGAAGAAAAAGCTAGGCATTTAACTAGTAGCAGCATAAGCAGAGTTGTACATATTGGACACTGCACATGCGGCAGCACATTACAATTCACAAAGTAATGTATGAATGTGTATTGCCTCTATGCATTACAACTGTGAAATAAAATTGTACAATGGGTTGTCTGCTATAGACATTGACTATTGATCCACATACCTTTGTACAGATTGAGTATAACTTATCCAAAATGCTTGGGACCACAAGTGTTATTGATTTGTTTGGATTCTGAAATACTTGTATATGCATATAAATACATTAAACCACAGGAAAGCAAAAGTATAACTATCTCAGCTTCCCATGTGAACAAATTTGAATTTTGGAATTCTGTGTAAGGGATGTTCAACAGAGAGGAAGCAGGCAGGGACATCTAATTACCTCTCAACAAAAGTTTGCCCAAGGCTCAGTCAGGCCATTGTATGCTAATCAAGGTGGTCAGTTGAAACATTCACACCTAGCTCTAGCAGAGAAGAGTCCTTTGTCTCACCCTGGTCATTCCACAGATATATAAACCCTTTTGCCTAGTTCCAACAGACCTCACTACCTCTGAGGATGCTTGCCAAAGTGCAGGCAAAACGTCAGGAGAAAATGCCTCTAGACCATGGCCATACAGCCCGAAAAAAACTACAACAACCCACTGTTCAACTTGTATTCAGTGTATTAGTATTCATATGGGTTGTCTTATGTAAACCCATTGGCAGATATTTATACCATGTTGAATTCAGCAACTCGGGCAGTGGTTTTATAAGAAGTTTTAATTTTTTAATTTATTAATGTTGTGTTTGCCATGCTATGAACAAAGAGAACTTCAAGAGAGATTTTCCACCTTAGGTATCCTAATCACTTGTCTGGATCAGCCTAATCAACTATTTATGTTGAATCTCCAGCTAAAAATGTAGAATTTATGGCTGATTTGATATTATTCCACTGCAGCTCCACATACTATAAGACTACAACTTCCATCATCCTTCACCATCGATTACATAGATCATACCAGATGGGATATATGGGCCAACAACATCTGGATGATTGCACATTCTTAGTCCCTGTTCTAGGAAATTATTAGAGTATCAATCTAATAAGATAAAACAATAAGATGAAATTATTCTTTCAAAATCTACACTTTTTCATCACTCATATTTTCCACATTTCTGGGATTATATTTGGCAAAACCTTTGGATAAGCATGAACAAAATAGGATTACAATGCAATGAATTATAAGGGCAAATCTACAGTTCAAAGGCACAAGGCATATGCCTTGTTGCCAATAAGCATGCAAAAGAACAGCCTACTAATTTTTAACATGATTTTATTGTAATGAAATCGTCATATATTTGTATGTTATTAAATGAACTTTTCAGCTTCAGCCAACCATTGACAACAGCCTCTTTGATCCCCTAGCGAAACAAATTATTACAAAAAACATAGTAACGCTGCAACAGTTTTTCACAGTGTTCTAATAAGAAATATAACTAATTCTATTCAATTTCAAACTTTTCTGAAATATGTTTGAAAACTAATTTGTGACGTATTGTCATATCTGTTTCAAAATGTGCCTCTTTAACATTCAGAGCACATGTGTTAAATGCAAGGCATGTGAGACAAATCTGGCTCTCCGTGTCATTTTATGAGGCCCTCCAGATGCTGGACTACAACTCCTATATTTCTTATGACTAGAACTGATGGGAGTTGTGATACAGAAACATCTGGAAAACTGCCATTTGTTCTGTTTAGTAAGCAGAATGAGGTTTGAATTTAGATACAAGGCTTGTGGGTATGATGTTTTACTTCAAAATGTCCTTTAGCCTTTCCCCAACCTCAGAGCCACAAGTGCTGTTGGGTTGTAATTCCAATTACCTCCGGTTAACACGGCAGACAATAAAAAGTGGTGAGAGCTACAATTTAATGCCATCTGGGGGCTCAGAAAAACACTGACCACCATGTTTAAAAAAAGTATAGCTGCCCTCTGTATCCACGGAGTCTTCATCCATAGATTCAATAGCCTTTTGAAGCCCACCAGAAGGCTGTTGTGTTCTTCAATTACAATTAGTTTGACACCCTTGATTCAGAAAATTTGGAATGTGTCTTGGTATGCCAATAACTTTTATTGGAATTCTGTAATAAATGAAATTGACTATTCTGTAGTAAATGAAATTGGCCAGATGGCTCATTAGCCCCATCCAGTAGGCCAACCAGCAAGAATGATGGGAGTTGTGGTTCAGCAATATCCAGAGAGCAATAAATTTTACTGGTAAGATTTTTTTAATGTCAATGTTAAAGTGTCACCCAATGTTGTTGTTATGAATGGTACACATTTCTCCTATATTGCTGTATTAATGACAAAGGCTAAAGGAACATAGGAAATTTGTTACTGTACTCCTCCAAGTTACTTCCAATCTACAGTGACCCTAAGACAAACCTATCACATTTTCTTGGCAAGATTTGTTCAGAGGCTTCATCTAAGGCTGACAAGCATGAGACTTTCCAAAGGTTTCATGCCCTAGCAGGGGTTCAAGCTCCAGAGTTACAGTTCAAATCTCAAACCACTACATTTTTTTATTTATTTATTTATTTTTGTCGTGTCAGGAGCAACTTGAGAAACTGCAAATCGCTTCTGGTGTGAGAGAATTGGCCGTCTGCAAGGACGTTGCCCAGGGGATGCCTGGATGATTTGATGTTTTATCATCCTTGTGGGAGGCGTCTCTCATGTCCCCGCATGAGGAGCTGGAGCTGGCAGAGGGAGCTCATCCGCCTCTCCCCAGATTTGAACCTGCGACCCGTCGGTCTTCAGTCCTGTCGGCACATGGGTTTAACCCACTGCGTCACCGGGGGCTCCAAACCACTACATCGTCTTGCATGATGGAAAAAAAACAACAAAGATAAGAGGAATGCTCAGATCTTAGTATGGTACAGCCCCCATATGCACTTGGGATGCATCCTGGATTTACGGTGGAAATGTGAAAGTGGGCATAATAGTAAACTCCATTGAAATGAATGAATTCTGGTGGAAGCATACCATAGAATCATGTTGAAGCATCAAGGAAATGCCTAGAGAAAATATCCACCTAGCATGTCTAGGTCCTCCAGCACAACTCTACTGACCATGCTCATTTTACATGGAAAATGTTGAAGAAATTCACAGCCCCAATGAAAAATTTTGTACTTGGAAGTTTACAGGGATTGTAATGCACCTTTATATGACTAGCCCCACCCTTTTTGTGGTCTGGTATGTCTAAAATTTACTAAAACTTTTAAGCAGCCAAGTCATTGACCTACTACTGTGCACCAATTATCAAATCTAACCAAATTACTGCTGGAACGCATAAAGCTCGGGCTGTGTTTCAGGTGAAACATTATTCTAGTTAGTAAAAAATCATAACGGCTACAGCATTATGAGTTTTCCAGCAGCTTGTTTTAATTCAAATACATATTTCAGTGCTTACAGGGCCCTTCTCATTCTCATCATGTGGGACTTGGGGATTTGCACACATAATTTCCATTAACACTAATAGGCATTTGAGCATGTATTGAGTGTATAACCACCACCCGATACACATGCATACCCACACATATTTCAGGAAGAGGTATATTCATGCCCTGAAGATAGTCATAAATGATTTTTTAAAATATTTTTTTTATTTTATGCAGATTCTTTGTATGAGAGACACAATGAAATACTGATTTTCCAGAAAGTACACATGTCCTCACCTCACACGTCCTACCATACACCTTTTTTTGTCCTTAAGCTGCATTATTTTCTTTCTTCTTTTTTCTTCAAATAGCAAGGTAAATTCAAGATAGTTACTGGAAGATCTTTTGAAGGAGTCTTTGTTTAGAAATGCAGCTTCCCTCCCCCTTCTCTTCTTATAGCCTCATGGCTTTCCGAGTCCTCATGTCATATTATTTTAGTGCCATCTGCTGGATATAAGCATGCAAACCACACCAAATAACACAGATGCCATTAGGAAAAGAATGGTCCAGATTAAAGAGGGGATACTCTATATTTTTCCTAAAAGTAATGTTAATTAATTAACATTAATAATGCAGGTAAGAGTTGACTGCATTTCTTTCTTTCTTTCTTCTACAACTGAAAATGATGGCTTGGCTATCCTCAGCAGCCTATTTCTTGAGACATGACATGGAGAATAAAATTCACAGCCACCACAACTTCACCCACAAAAGCCCTTTCATGTCTATTCCAAAATTTCACAGATGAACATCGGGGCATGTATCGCCAAGTGACATGAAGGAATGGTCAAGATGGCCAAAGTTATTACTAAACAAGAATACACGAACTCGGAGATGCTGTAGTTTCCTTTTGTCTGAACCTACTGAGCCTCTCTCCCTTTGCTGAATTAGTTGTGTACAAAAAAATGTTGCTGTCAGTTTGCAGCAAATGGAGTAAGCAGAGGACAAAAACAAAACGGGGAAAATCAGAGACATTTTAAAAGCAACAGGACAGCAGGGCATTCAGGGGAACTATCCCTGCCAAATCAGGACAGTTGGAATAAATGTTTCCATGAGCTTCTGTGCTTATCTCTGCCAGAGGACTGCGACATGACAGAGATAAGAATAAGACAAGAGCTTTTTATAATCCCATCCTCAACCATCTCCACCCCATCAGACCATCTTTTCTCATAGATATAATTATGGTCTCATACTCAGGGGACTTGTTTCAGCCAAAAACAAAACACACTGGGATTCTAGAAATAACCCTGATTTTTTATTGAAAAAAAATCACTAACATTAACAAATTATGACCAGAGTCCTGTGCGGGAGTTACATATGCACATGTATTATAGCAACAGTTCTATTCAGTGAATCTTGAGCTGACACCACTCCCAATCCCCACAGCAGCTGCTGTGATTGATAGGAGTCTGTTCCATTGTCACCTAGGATGCAGGGTACTGCTTCTACCCATAGCAACCTCCTGTGTGACAGGCAGAATCACGGCACAGCACTTTTGCCCCATGCCCTAGTTCATTAGCTAAAATTTGCCCTTTCATGGATCCTCATTGCACTTGGCTATGTTTTATGACAGTTCTCATCATAGGTTATTGGATGCTGTTTGAGCTTAAACTTTGTTTTATATGTTACTGATTTTCTCTTGTATTATATTGTGTGCTCATTATGCATTGTTTTAGGCACATTGTGCCATATGTAAGCTGCCCCGAGTCCCTTTGGGGAGATGGAGACAGGGTGCAAATATAAAGTTGTTGTTGTTGTTGTTATTGTTATCAGAATCCTTGTCACAATTTTCTCTCTTTGAGATTGCTAACATAATTGCGGGGGGCATCAGTTAGATGCTACCTGATTGACATGGAAACAGACCTCTTGTCAATTGCGGTGACTGTTGCCTAGAAAATAGCACCTAGGAACTTACATAGCTGGCCCACCACAAAGCATAAAATGGCTGCACAGAATGGCTTAAGGGGGCTTTCCAGTAAACCAAGGCCCCTTCTAAATTACCCCTATATCTCAGGATCTGATCCCAGATTATCTGGCAGTGGGGACTCAAATAATCCAGTTTAAAGCCAAACACACATAAAGACAATAAACTTTAAAGAAGTAATCCAGTTACATTTGTGTGAAGGAAAAAGAATATTGCCTTCATGGACACTTATAAAAGGGATCAAGCAAAAGTGATTAAAGTCTAACAGTGTAGCAATGCCAAGGACTGAGAGGACCAGGACATTGTACATTGAGAAGGAAGATAATAGGACATAGAAAACTGGACAAATGTGTCCAGCTGTATGCCACTAACTCAGTGCCTGAATAAGGTACCCCTATTTGTATTAGGTGCTCAGTTCCCAAATAGGGCTCCAATTTGGCCTGGAAAAGAAAGTCAGTTCTCTCTACCATCCCACCAAGCAGAAAGATGATTCATATTTTTTTATACACATTGTACTAAGCACTATAGCTTGCCTTACTCATCAAGCCATGAAATGAAGATAAACACTATAAAAAAGGAAGGGGGGTGTATTTTATTTTACTTGTTACTGAAAAATGTACACAAACCCTTAACAGAGACCACTTCAGGTTTTGATAGATGAGAATCAGGATAAGAAGTAAGTGAGACAGTAAGGGTCTAGGGCTGAATCTATGCAAAATTAAATTGCTAGGCCACTATGTATTTCAAGAATGTTTAATCGAAATGATTTTATTATGATTGCATTGATTTTATATCATCAAAAAGTCAAAGAAGCAGCAAAGAGACTTGGCATCTAAAGGGATTTTGTGCGCATAACCAGACTACAGACATTTTTATTTATAGATATTTATCCTGCCACATGCTTCTATGAAGGTCTTGAGGCAGGATATTTTGCAATACCATACTGAAAACATCCTCCCAAAATACCTCAGATTTCATTTTAAATTAAAACCTGTAGCCAGTTATAGTGTGTAGTATCCACATTCCCAATCTTGTAGATATATATCATTGTAGCTTTGCTAGGAATTCTGCCAGAGTTTATTACGCGCTGAGATGCTTCCCCAAATAGTCTCAAACCACACACAAAAATCTCAGGTCCCCTTCTTGTTGCTTTGGAATAAGGATGGCTTTCTCTAGCATTGATGCTGCCTCTAGTCCCAGCTTGATTTCTTGTCCATCAGTAGGTTTTGTCCCTTCCTACTGTCTTAATTGTCTTGGGCATGAATCCAACATCCTCTCAACATAACATAAATATCTGCATGCCAATTTACATTATACTGAGCCACACATAAGGCAGAGTGAGAGAGAGTTACCGCAAACATCATTACGAAATTGAAAAATCAAACCCCAAATTATGAAATATACAAAACTATATAAAATAGAAGTCATGACTCCTCTAGGATCTAGAGAGCATGTGCACCCTTTGTCTTACATTACTCTTTTGTATGGATTGTCTCTGCAATGCTACCTAATCACAAACTCTCTTCCTCTAATTTCTATAATCCCCGCACAATGAACTGGGAGGCACGAGGGGAACACAGAATGAATTTGCATCAGAGTTTCTGGGTTTGTTTCCTGACTTCCTTGATGTTAGCTAAAATATTGGTGGGAGCGGCTTGGTCTGATTCCTCAAATCAGCCCCACCTATTGAAATGAACATCACCCTCAAGCACCCATTGTATAATTTGAACTAACTCTATTGTTTCCACCAGAGTCAGACCATTAAGCTCATCAAGGACTCATTGCCTAATGCCACACCACATTCCTTTCAGATCACAACTCCTCTCAGAGGCATATCATTAAACAGACTGGCACTTCAAATACTCCAATGACAATTTATTGATTTCCCCACCACCACAAAGAGCCAACCAGCAATGACCTCCGATTAAGCCACTCAGGATGTGGATTCTAGTTGGATGGTTTCTGACCCAATCAGAAGCTAGCGCAGATTTCTTGAACAACTGTCAAATGAAATAAGAATGGGTTGTTGTAGGTTTTTCCGGGCTATATGGCCATGTTCTGGAGGCAATTTTTCTCCTGAAATAAGAATGCTCTGTATTTGCAGCATGACAATACTTTGCAATTGGAGTACGTCAGTACTTTGGAGTACAATCTCCATTTATTCTCAATGGCCAATCTCTCTTTGGCCATTGAGAATAAAATCTCTGTATTGTCGAAGGCTTTCATGGCTGGAATCACTAGGTTGTTGTAGGTTTTTCGAGCTATATGGCCATGTTCTAGAAGCATTCTCTCCTGACATTTTGCCTGCATCTATGGCAGGTATCCTCAGTGGTTGTGAGGTCAGAAAAACCTACAGCAACCCAATAAAATCTCTGCTTTTGCCTTCTACCCGTCTGTGTCTCATTTAGCCTTTTGGGAAACTAGACACTCCAGGCCTTCAAACCCATGATTTAGCAGAGCTGAAATCACTCAACACTAAGACCGACTTGGACAATCATTCCATGCTTATCAACAAGGCAGAAGCAGAAAAGAATCTGCCTATTTATATTCAGATGCACTGAAATCTGCAGGAATTCTCTGGGGGCTTCAATACCAAACTAAACTATGTGGAAAGATTTGGAAGGGGGCTTTAGGGCTACATTTACCCTCTAAAGCGGCCCTACCAGCCATCTTTGACTTCCTCTATATAATGATGAAGGTACTTCTAGTCCAATGTGAGGAAGCTGGAAGGGGCAGTTCTGGACATGTGGTGCAGCCCTGGGACTGCTGTCCAAAGAACCCCAGGTAACTATTGCCTCTTTTACTGATTTTTGGGGCATTTTAGTGATAAGAACATTTATTTTGGCTCTTACAACTGCTTTCTGTCTTTTTTTTCTTTTTAAAGATACTTCAAATGTATATTTTTGCTCGAAATTGTTGTGTTTTTCTCAGAGTAGTTACATATATAAGATGATGAAGTGAGATACTATGAGTGAGTTGAAGATGGGAACTCAAAAGAATCTAGATGGCACATAAAACAGAGGTTGTGAACATTGCCATAAATGCCACATTTTGGATGCTATGCTAGCAACTACAATTGCTACCACAAAAGCAAATACAATTTTGTCTACCTGCTCAAAAATGCAAGGAAAGTACTTCTTTCAGCAAAGTGACACCTGCACCAGAGAAACCAGAAATTATGTCTGTGAATGAAGTCAGTGATTGCTTCAGCTTTGTACCTGTAAATGCTGCTGGGTCACCCTGAAATTCAAATAAAAGTGGGGGAGGGAAGGCTGTATGTCAGCAAACTCTGCTTTTAAGCAAACTTTCATCAGACCACTTTGACCTGTTCTTTGTCTACCTGTCAGAATTATTTGTTCTTGCATAGTGCCCAGAACAATTGCTGGGTAAAGGTTTGTTTACTCTTTTTGCATCCCATTCAAATCATTTGCTTTCATTGCTGTGCAAAGCTGTTCAAG